TGTTGTCCACTTACTTTATTCACTGCACTTCACGCCGGTCTTCTGTGAGGTCGTGGTACTTCCCGCACGGACCTGCCCATTCGTGCAACAGCCGAAGCTGTTGCGTGGTTCTACCAAATAAACTTTCTATAGTTATAGTTAGTGTAATTTTTTTAATGAAAAAAGAGGCTAAAGAACCGGCGGGCCACCTAATAGTAAATATTCTCCGCCGCCCATGACCTTTCTAAACGCAGGGGGAGTCACAATTGCGTTTCCGGCCTTTGGGGAAAGAATATGTACTCTTGAAGGTCCCAAGTCGTATCGGTTCGGAAATATCGATAGACACGACTGATTTCACAAGTTGGTTGTGCGTGGCAGAAAATTGCGCGAAAAACTCACAGTGGTGGACTGCCAATCAACGAGGTTGTAGCGATACTATTTGGCAGTTCGCATCATAAGGTAACGCACACATGTTTACGCCTCGTACTGGCCATCGCAGTGTAGGACGACCCCCCACTAGATGGAGTGACGACCTGTGCAAATGTGCGGGAAGTCGATGGATGCAGGTGGCTCAGGATCGTGCTTCGTGGCAGTCAATGGGGGAGGCCTATGTTCAGCAGAGGACTCAAACAGGTTGAAATGATCATGATGATGATGATTATATGGTGGAAAATTCAACAGTAGATATTAATCTAATCAACTCCTAACAGCACTCCCCGTGATAGATGCGACAAAAAGTGCAAGGAGATGAAACATCTCTTCACAAGGCCAAAAGGACGAGATGTTTGGAAAGGACTTGGCTGCCGACGATTCGAGCACCTATACGTTGGATACGGCCAAATGGAAGGAGCTGATATTGGGATACCCAGAGATGAGCAATATTATCTATCTCTACCCAAGACACCAAGCTCTTTAGATCACATATTGGCTTTCTCTTCCAAGTGACAGCCAATTTGAGTGCTGAATTGATATGTCAATTCCAAGAATTCCAATCACGGCCTTAATTGGTAACAAGGGAAGCGCTCCTAATAAAAGAATACTCGAAAGACTAAAGGTTTCTTCTTGTGTTAGTTGGTCAATAGGTCATCAATCATATTTTTCAATTTCTAGAAGTTTACATACGTAGTCATTCTTTTCATGTCTAAAGATTTGGTTTAGTTGATTGTGATTTAGTCTACTGCTAGTATTATCGCTGTCAAATCCGCGACGACGAACGGGAAAAGTAACAATGAGCACGCGCAACGTGAAATGAGGATAATGGAAACGCGCCTGATACGCTTGTGTCGCGCCGCACTGTCCTCGACAACTTGCATATCTCGTGAGTGACGTCCTACGCGAACGATAGCCTATCTAGGCATCTAGCTCGAATTAGCTTCATTCCGACTACATGACCGATAGAGAACGACACTCAATGGAAGAGAGACCATTCGGTGGCTTATGGAAACCGTCGATTTTAATATCGCTTGGATAAAAAAATGATAAAAAAACATCGCATGATTAATGGATGGCCCCTTATGACAGAATAACATTTCAAATGAGGTCAAATGTTTGAACAGAAATTTTACACGAATACAAGTTTCTACCTGATGTTTTATTATTATTTTTCTGTCTGTTTAACATTCTTATCTATTGCAAATACTTGTACTGCGCTGCTCGAGTATGAAAAATAATAAACAAACAATGTGGTGTCTGGTGATTAAATTGAGACCGTTTGCAGCCAATGGTCGCCTATAATCTGAACACATCGACACGCAATTACAGGTTACAGTAATTTGAGTTCATACTAGTTGAATATGCTTTATAGATATATAACTTGCTTGCACTAATCTCTGTTTTTAGGGTTCTGTACCCAAAGAATGATGTATTTCTGTTGCCGAAATCGAAAAAACAGAATCGAAAATATTTAAGTGGGGCGCTCCCATGCAACAGACATGATTTTTCTTTTATAATGAATTTTATATTTTCTTTTAAATATGTATATAAATTATAGCCTATGTCTTATTCTGGTGTATAAGCTATATTATTATAAAGTTCCATTAAAATCCATTCAGTAGTATTTGCGGGAAAGAGTAACAAACATCCATCCATACATACAAACTTTCGCCGTTATAATATTAGTAAGGATGGTTCAGAACCCTTCGTGCGCGGGTCCGACTCGCACTTGGCCGGTTTTTATATTTGTGGCAAAATCTAAAAACTCCGTCGCGATTTGGTGCCAGCTTATACTTTAAATGCATATTCCATTAAAGTGACCTGAATATTCGTGAATGTTCAATCTATTATAAATTAGTTTGTAGCCATCCCTTGTTCGATCCTTACATGCACTAATTAGCTTACTCAGTAGTTTTGAGTTTAATTTCCAGCTGAAGTAAAAAAAATGTAAAGCAGTCTATAACGTCTCACTGCTGGACAAAAACCTCCTCTGTACAGAGAGTATCGGCCGATGCATACTTAACTCTGTCTGTCCGTCTCACTTTCACGCAAAAACTACTGAACCGATTTAAATGAAATTTTGTAGCCTAGAGTGCCGGCGCCGGGATTCGAATTCAGGTATATTGAATTAAAAGCGAGCGTTTGGAAACCGAACTACCGCTTAGTAGTATAGAAATTGATTTCCAGCTCATGTAAATATAAGTACTATGCATATTTGTTCCAGGCGGGAAAACGCGGGGTGTAAAATAGCTGAAATATTTTACGTACGTCAGGTGATTGATTGCCTTGGTGACGCAGTCGCTATTGCTAAGTTGATTTTTCTTCACAATGATGGTTATGTCGGGCAGCTGGCCGATGAAAAACCTGACCGATATAACCTTGACGACACGATAAGTGCAGGAGAGAGAAGAAGAATGCAACTCGGTTGTGCATACATGCATACCTTATAAATAAAAAAAAAACTAACACAACGACCACATAATGTGAGCAGCAGGAACGCCCTATAATAAAAAAAACACCAACTGACCCTAGTCATAGACAAAAAATGGCGTTCCCTCCAAAATTGCCTTCTGTCAAAAATAAATCAAAATCAAGAGCGGCGAGTGCCTATTGGCCGCTAAAGCCGCTGGAAGGGGCCCGCAGGTAGCGACGATTAGAAAAAGCATATGCGACCCGTGTCGGGGATCTAGGATAGAGTACATGGAACCGGTTTCTGACGAAGGGTCCTTTTTTTCTATTTCTCTAGTAGATCAAAGCCGGCCTACGATTGGGCCGCGGCCTTTTTGTCCGTCGGAGTGGTCGGCCAGGTAGGGCTCCGGGAATTTATATGTTACGAACATCACGCTAACCCGAATTCAGTGGAATATTTTTAAAATACAGAACAGGTTGTTAAATAACAACATGGGTTGTTAAATATATAAGGTCGACATAGAAAGCTAGTTCTGTTAGATGGAGATAATTTTCTCAGAATGTGACATCAAAATTCTCCCCATTTTATTTTCTATTTTTTTCATAAAATTGGATTATTTTTTAATTAAGTCACAATCAGAAAAATCCAATACGGCTATGGAAGCACCCTTTTTTATGTTGTCGACAATTATTCGCAATATCGAACTGATACAGAACGACGCAAATGTCATTTATTTCAAACAGTTAACAATGATACGTTCAAGTTATAATATTAACAACTAGTTGGAGCCCGCGCCGGAGAATGAGCCTTACGGCCATTAGGATAGGATTGATGATTGAGTGCAATCGGCCGTGGAGGTGCTTTGCCAAGTCTTCATTGAGGAATCACGGGCCCTGGCATGAGCGTGCACGTCAGAGTGTTTGCCAAGCTGCGAGCTACCGGGTCAACGACCCCGGGACAGCGTTATGGAAACGTTCCTCGCGTCACATCGTAGTTTTTGGCTTAGTCAGCGTCTCAAATCTAAGAGCGTAAGAAATCTGTTCAAATTTATGACCTGTAAAGGTATGGCTGAGTTACCTTGTCTTATCAATAATTTCGCTAATGATTACAGAACCCTCGATACCCCCGTGCTTTACAAAATTACTCGTACAGTCTTAATTTTGAAGTTGTGAACTTATAACAACAGAATATTCCCGCATTATACATGTGTTCTAATCTCGTAAAATGGGACAACACAGGCTTGCAGAAAATAGATTTCGGCGGAAACATTCATCACCCTTCTTGGAATATGATCTGATCATATAGATTTATATAAACTGGTGGCTAAACTGATTATCTCATAAAAGACAGTCTCCGTTTTTCATTATTATATAAATTTCAAATTTGCGTACAATCTTACCTACAATTATATTTTTATTGGCGTAGTCACATGTATCATGCCAACAGATATAGTTTCATGATACATTACATTCTTTTTGTAATTAAATGTAACCCAAGGGTCAATCAAAGAAATATCTTGTAAGTTGACAGATAGAACAATTCTAAAACTCGAACAGCAATTATAATTTCTTATCGTAGCCTTACTTTTCTTGTTATAATTAATTATATATTGTTATAATATATTTTGTGTACATTCTTCATCGCAAAACCCATATTTAAGCTTTTGATTTAATATCTACGAACAATAATATAGATAAATCCTAACTTGTAATGCAGAATCGAAACTTTCAATGTGCAGTCGTTGAACTAAAATCGTAGGTAGCACCGACTTTGGAATATAACAATGGGCTACATACTTTGTTTTTGATCGGGTATGTTGGTATCGTTATATTATATGGGATGAGTAAAGTAATATGAACTATCTAAGGTATTTATTATATTTTTATTTTAAAGAACTGTGGTAGGGCCACGCAACAGTTTTCACTGTACCACGAATGGGTATATGGTCCATCCGGGGAAGTACCACAAACTCATAGAAGACTGGCGTGAAGTGGATTGTTATACTTCTGCGTTTAGATTAGTGAGTGAGTTAATGGGGGCCTAATTTATTTAAAGTTGGCAACGGATTTGCAACCCTAAGGGTGTTGCAAATGTCCACGGGCAGCGAACATTTAATTCAGTTAACCGCCTGCCACTCTCTAACGTAAAAGAAATCAAAAATATTTCATCCGATAGTGAAATGAAAGCTAGTCCCAAATTCTCAGCCAAACCGGCCAGTCCTTTGTCTCAGAGGGTCACGCGTGCGTTTGTTTATCAGAATTCGCCTCAATTCGCGAGACTCGGCGGCGCCCCACTGCGATATGGCGATATGGCGGTATCTTATCAGGTGCCGATAGCCACGGTCGCCTCTGATGGTGGCTGGGTGACTGTCCTCGCCGGCCGTCACGTGTAGGTATACCGGGCGACACGGATCGTTCCCGTTCAAACGTCAATCCCTCGCACGATTTCCATTCGAGGCGGTCGCTAGGCGAAGATAACTTGGGCTAGTCTCCCATACCGTCTAGACTTGGTTTATTATTTACCGTTAGTTAGGGTAGTGACCGCTTCGCGCTTTATAGCGAGGCCAATCTTCAAGGCCGGCGCCCTTCGTGGCCGAATGGGTAAGCTATGCCCGCGCACGTGATCCGACTACCAATGCACACATCACATCTAAATGATGATGACGAAACTCTGATGACCACTGACCCTCAAAAGCGACCGCTACTTACAGCATCCATTCGTTTTTTGATTACAGAGCTCTCCCTCGAATTTAATGGTTTTTGACTTTGATTGACAATTCTGCTTGTTTTTAATATATAAATATATGTCATCGAAAGTTATTATACACCATTTAGAAGGAGATTCCATTTACATATAGCGTTCCATCTCAGACAATGGGGTGACTGAAGACATTCGTCGTTTCGATTGGTTGTGTTTAAACTAAGTTGCTAGTTGAAAGTCAAATATGACTTCATTATAAAGATAAAGGAAACAAGGAATTGTAAACGCTTTCTTATTCTAAGCTATGGTCATATTTGGAGTATTCCAACGAACCTTCTTGAATTTTCTCTATTCTTCTTTGTCTTTGGCTACCCTTATTCTATCGTTGTTGGTATTTTTTTAACTATGAGACCAGTGGACAAAAAAAGAAAATAGTTGATTCATGAAAAAAAGGTTGTCTCCTCGCTTGCCAGCTGTTCACTTCAAAATAAGTAACGCCTTTGTCCACAGGCATTAGTGACCTAGTTAGTGGTTACGATGTAAATTAGAAGACACAGGCGTGATTTCTTCTCCTGCATACTATTTCGCAGCCTACCCAATTAGTGCCAACGTTATGAGAACTTCAGTGAACTAACTCTTCCACTGCGTTTATGTTACTGACGAAGGGAAGGACCCAGAATTAGGGTCAGCAAAACATTTAAAGCGTAAAGGATTTAAGCCAAGATCAATTATTAATTTCTAACAGAGCCGGCCAAAATCTAACAATGTAAATGTAAACATTATTAGAGTTATCAAAATTCCAGATAAAAATAGCCGTAACAATTTTTATCGTTGTACAATTTAGATAATAATATGTGCTTAATAGGTTATTTCGTGTCAAGGACTAGTAATTTGAATACTTATTATTTTTATAGTACAAGACATAACTCTTGTCATAAAAAAGGCAATGTACAAAACAGAATTTCATTTTTGAGATCTAGATACAACGAGATTGACAGATTTTATCGCATATGGAGATTACCTGGAAATAAGACACGTACTTTCTGACCGAGGCGAGAATAATTGTGCAATTCGTATTATAAACTTTTCTATGAAAAAAAAAATAAGTCAAATGCAATGTTAGTCATTCAAAATCGAATCCAAAACAAACAAACGAAAATACAAAACACCACAACTAGTGAGCTAAAAGCACTGAAGATAACACCTACATTAAGCTGATAGAATTTTTCTAACGCAGCATGGTGTATACGGTATACACTACCCTATCTATTTAAACGGGGAGGACATTGGTGTCCTAACAAATGTTCGTTCGTAACACAAATCGTCGTCTTCTTTAAAGTGAATATTGTTGATTTCCAAAGCGACTGTTGCTCGATCATAAGAAACCGAGCAGCAATGACGGCTAGTTTCCACATACCACATCCATCTGTAGTTTTGGTTACTAGCGATAGGTATTCGACATCATCACTACAAGGTATAAAACAAAGGCGCCCCGCAGTCTGTCCGCTTCCTATGTATGCTTAGATCTTTAAAACTGCGCAACGGATCTTGATGCGGTTTTTTTATTAGATAGAGTTATCCAGGAGGAAGGTTCATATGTATAATACATAATAGCCGTGCGAAGCCAGAGCGGGTCGCTAGTTAGCTAAATAAAACCCCGTCATAATTCCATCCCCAGTGGCCAAATCTGCAAATAGAACATTGAAACCGGCCGTAAGCCGTTACGGGCTCAACTTGCAACCCGTTGGCTGGCTGTGAGGTCGGCAGCGGCGGCTGTGGGTCGCGGGTGACTCAGCCGCGGTGCACGAAGAGCGGAGACGCTTTTTTCTCAGTCGCGCCGCGCTCGTTGGAAATACGCGTCTGATACGGTGCCCCGGTGTTTGCTTAGCGCGCCTCTGTGTGCCGAGTGCGAACACGCTAGGGTGACCACGTACACGACTGTTACATGACAGCTCCCTGTTCAGCTGAAGCAGCGATGACGGCGTTTTCTCGAACAATCAAAGTTTGATACTACGCGACACGCTAAATTCATGACTACATTTTGAGTCACGATGAGTTTGTTTGATTTAACTGTCTCCCCCCTGCTGAAAGTTATCCTTATGCAGCATCGTTACATTCAAAAGATCTTAATGAGTAGCAAGGTTTCTATAATTTTTAATATTCTGTTTTAAATGAAAACAGCCAAAAAGAGTTATGTCCATCAGATTTATTATGTTTTGCAGACATTTTCAATGTCCTGAAATGGCAGTTAGAAAGCATAGCTACTATATTGTGCCAACGTGCGGTTATTGTGAACATAATTGTAGTCTACGTATGGGCTCATACAAATTGTTGAATACATTTATTATTACGCCGGCTTGGAATACCAAGCTACTCGATTCCAACTCGTGAATGCGGTTCCTACCTACTGCCAGATGCAGGCAGTGCATACAAATCCATATTCGAAATATGATTGCCTCGGCGATTGGACGCCAAGAAAGAGTTTTGTATTCTCCACAACATTTTAACTTCTTGGCTTTGTATATTCGATATGTACGAATATTCTTTACATTTTAGAGTATATGTTTGTGGTTAGCGGCCTTATTTCGTTGTGCAAGAATTCAAAATATCTTCGCAAAACGGTTCTTCGAAAATCGCGGCTGCCAACTAGCTCAGCGGGCCAGACTTCGAGGCGTCTGGATCTAGTACGTGCGCGCACAACACTTCCACACGTGCGCTGCCAACCGAACACGGAATAGTGGCCTCAACGTAAACGCAATACGGGGGACAATCCCGCGCCGTAACCGAAACGGACGGAACGACCTGCGCGCCGCTCAACCTTGCAGAGACGCCGATGCTTAGTATTCCCACCAAGAGCGCTCGGTCCATAAAACCACTTTTGAATTACCATATTAAGTTTGTGGGGCCATTTTTATTTAAATCCGCGCCGTGTTCACACGTCCGAGATCCGCGGACGCTACTAGTGGACCGGCGGCGCACGAGCACAATGCGAACGCACCGCGGAGTTGGAGCTCCGTGGACACAGTTCCGCTGAGACGAGAACAGCGATAAGGGCCGTCAGATTGTCCCTAAACGAAATTGTGCTACGGATTTCGACACGGTCGTTTTCGTAACTCCCGAAGATTCGAACAATTTACAGCGTTTGTGGTCAAATACAGAGAGACGGACAGACTTTGACGTTTCAAGTTCTGTTATTTAGCTACAGTTAATACGTCCACCCATGCAGGTGGACGTTTTAATTGATTGTTGCCATAAATGGATGTTATGCCTAATCGTTACTCCCGATCTGAGCGTTTATGATCAAACATCAGGAGCGTGAACCATCGTTCCTATTATATATAGAAAGAGATAGAAGAGATAAAGTTAGTCATTGCGTTGACTTGCAGCTATAAGCAACAGTTGATAATTATCAATAGGATGTGTTATCGTATTTATAACTTTATTCACTTCAGTCTTAAACTGGAATGCGTAAACGCATGCTTCCATTAAATTCACATGTTTAAAATGTTATATTGAATAGATTAAATGTGATGATGAGGCGTTACTATGCAAAAACTAGATACGGCCAAAATCCTTAATTAAGAAGTAATCGTGGGGAAATAAAAGTGAGGAAGAAAGGTTCTCAGTGGCAGCCCCGTTTTGGCAATGTATCACTTGTACTTGGACATCTTGAAATTGTTTAAAAACTTTATTTTCGTTTTCTTGTTACTGATATAGTGACTACTATACTATTCACATGAACTCAGTTCATCTGTGGTAAGTTCACGCAACAGTCTTTTCTGTTGCACGAATGGGCAGGTCTGTCGGGGTAAGTACGACGACCACGAGAAGACCGGCTTGAAGTGGAAATATGACAATACTTTCGCGTTTCGTTATACTTCTGCCATTCGTCTGGTAAGTGAAGCCCACTTTATTAAAAGGTGGCAACTCATCTGCAACTGTACGTGTTGCAAATGTCAATGGACGGCGGTTATCATATTATCATCAGGGGAACCGCCAGCTCGTTTGTCAAATTTTCACACACAAAAAAACATACATTCGGCTGCGCAAGAGACGATTTGGTTTTATGGTAAAATTATTACGTTTACTCCTTTATCTCAGGAGACCGTGTTTGTTAAGTCGTGTGTTCATCTTCTTGTTTGCAGATTATTGACTCTTACACCAAAAACGACTACGGCTTCTGTCAGAGTTGACTGCAGTCTTTTCTGTATGTGCTCTTTGGTAATATCCCACGGACCATGCGTTCTTACAGGGAAAAATATTGCCTAATTTATTTATGAGGAATCCAATACCGATGTTATTAATGTTTAAATAAATATTTCAAGACAGTTTTACAGGAAGTTATCTAGTCCCAAACAATGCAAAGCTTGTACTATGCAAACTAAGAAACTGATAAACATACTTAAACATATTTTTTTGTAAATTAATAAATATTATAGATACATAAACATTCAGACACTAGAAAAACACTATGCTCATCACAAAATATTTTTCCAGCAGTGAGGATCGAACCCACACTATCTGGCGTATGGGATAGATTTAATATCGACTACGGTAATTGGGCTACCAAACAGTTCCGTTATACCGTTGCTCTTTGCAAGATTTGCAGACCAAACAAACTGACAAAGTAAATTTTCACATTTATAAATTATCACATTTATAACTCTATTGTATTAAAATTTGTAAAAAAAGTACGAAAAGATTGTCGCCGCTGTGGGATTTTCGTCGGTGTGGCAATCAGCCGTTTAGCTTAGTGGCTAAAGCGTCAGGCCGCGAATGCCGAAGACGTGGGTTCGATTCCACAGCGGCGAAAATCTTTTCGTACTTTTTCCACAAGTTTTAATGTTTAATCTTAAGTGCTCTAAAATTCTAAAAAAAATTAAACTCGATTGTATTTTCGGAAAAAATATTGTACTGTACCATAATATTGTTCCATATTTATTGTCTGGATAATTTAAAGCATCATATTTGGTTCCATATTTATTGTTAGGATAATTTAAAAGCATGATGTGCGTCTGATCCCACGGCCCGTCGCCACACCTAGCCCCTGAATCCGTAATACGGTCAGCAACACAATCGATCACGAGACTGCTAAACGACCTTCGCCTTGAAGACGCAAACAGCCCCTAGCTGACACCCCGTCCGATCTGAAGGTCACTCCCACAGATAGTCCGGATAACTTGTTTCTCGAAACAGGTCCCTTCACACGAGGGTGAATTTAAAACGAGTCGTACCACACGTTTCGTTACTGACGCTATCTACGCCGAGCGATCTTCGCCTATGCTAGGTAGGCTATTGGTCTATTAATGAATAGGGTTGATGGTGATGATATTTGAAATTTATAACCACTGGGGTCTATTAGTAAATGGGTTTGTTATGTTAATCGCAACTCGCCTATACTAGTAATTTATATAATACATTATTTACATTAAAACATAATGTCTCTTCATTTTTTGATAATTTAGACATATTGTTATTGCTGTTTGTTGTTAATTCATTGATTTAGGATTATTAGACAACATTATTTTACAGGTTAACACTTGCACTCAGTATTTTATCATAGGTAACAATAGCACATACGATCAAGTACTATGATAGTAAAGTAAAAAGGAAGAATAATCAAAAATCAATCTAACTACATAAGCAACTTGTAAATCATCGTAAACCCCGGTCTTATTTTATAAATGACCAAAGCCGTTATCTTAAATATGTTAATTTGTATTACCACGAGGCACAAAAGCATACGAGTGAACTCCGTGGCGCAGTTGCGAAGGTGTCGGCTTCGGCATCGGGGGTCGTGGGTTCGATTCCCACGCAAGACAACTATTTGTGTGACCCACAGATCATTATTTCGGACCTGGGTGTTTGTCCGAGTGAAATTTATGTTTGTAAAACGTCCTTACAACACTTGATAATTTAATTGGGCAATGTGTTTCTTTGAGAAAAAAAGTATACACATGAAAAAGGCAAAGAAGATGAACAGGAAATTGTACACTAATTCATGAAAATCGTTGAAGCCCTTTCCGAGATTAAAATTATATATGTACATATATAATCCGAAATATCTTTATATATACATATATAATTCTTCTGTACGTGTGTATGTCACTGAACTCGTCCTAAACGGCTGAACTGATTTGAATGAATTTTTTTGTGTCTTCAGGTGGATTCGAGAATGGTTTAGATTTACAAACTTATTCAAGTCCGCTAGTGTAAGTATATATGTCCACGTAGCATATATGTCCACAGTAGCATATAATTATGTCCACGTGTAGTGTTAGATAACAACATCGTTTTACGGATGATTTGACATTTCTTTTAAATAATAATAAATGAGTCATAAAACAGCAAAGAGGAGACAGTTTATGAGTGACTCTGACAAAAACAATAATCCGTTAAATCTAAACTTTGATGTATTACATTAGAGTTTACTTTCGACCGAAGAGGAACAACTAGTTTCTGTTAATACAGGGATTTTTCATCATACTGTACAACGAACTAATAGAATATTTACTCCTCATTGAATTTTTTACATAGGGTTACTTTTGAATATTACTAGTATATCAGTTAGTTAAAATAAACTGAAACTTGCGTCATGTACTAAGTACCAAATTGAGATATGATTTATTACGATGATGTCATTAGGTCGCGTCACAGTCCTGTATTATTGTAAGAAATGGCCTGACTTTTTTTCTGGGAGACAAGCCCAAGATCCGCCACAGGTTTTTTACCAGGCGTCACGGCGAATCAACCGCGGCGTCTATAGCCATTAACTGACTAATAGAGAATTAAGAAATAGAAAACGCAGCATCATTCAAGGCAAAGGAGTTAACTTTTGATTATAGTGTATATTTTGAACATTTTTTTTTTTGTTAAAAACATTGCCCTTACTTTAGGACAACATTATCCTGTATTGTAAGGACGTTTTACAAACGTAAATTACACGTGGACAAACGCCCAGATGCGAAACAACTGTCAGTGGTTAACACAAATAGTTGTCCCGTGTGGGAATCGAACTGACGATCCACGACGCCAATACCTTGACGACTGCGCCGCATAGTCATATTGTATTAACACCTATCTATTCAATATTAATTTGATCGTCACTAAGTTGGTTATTGACGTCATGAGACACGGATGTCGATATGTAGATGATATTTTAATGTGAGACTTCAGAAAGCAGCAGTCACTACGTGTGATACACAATTTGCCCAATGTGTTATCCAATGGACGGTGACAAGCTTAACGCCTGTCAGGTTTGCTGCTCAAGAATCTTTGGAAATTAGTCACAACGTCCGCCCATCAGATACCAGTTACAAATAAATTATAAAATATGTTTATAATTTAAATATATCTAACCTTACGCAACAGCATACGGTTGCAGCCTTTGGTAATTACTTTACTGTTATAGTACTTTACTTTAATGTCAGCACTTAAAGTAAATTTGTATCTCAGTATGATTATTATTAGTAGTATTTTCAAACAACTTTGTGCAAAACGTCAAATGTAACAAATGTTTTAATATTGTCTTTGGTTATAATATTCTGTAAATGGTATTATTTGTCCAAAAGGGTGCTCAGAGATAACTATGTGAGGACTCAAACGTGCCTAAAAAAATGATAAATATTCAGTTTCATTTTAAAACCGTAAACTGGGACGCCTGCCTACTAGAGCCGTTCACTATACAATAATTACAGAAACGTTAAAAATGACGCTGCTTTGGAATTAGGACGTTTTGGAAATGGAACAGTGGTCAATATAGGAGTTGTTTGAGCTCGACGTGGCCCTCAAAGGCCTACCACGGTCTCAAAGAACCTAGACCAAACCTCCTGGTGTTGCGGATATCGCTAGGCAAGCTCGTTTGCCAA